TATATATATATATATAACGTACGTCTTTGTTAACGTGAACCCCAATCGCGGTCAATTTTTAATTCATCTGCAAGTCCCTGAAATTTAATACTAGTAATACAAATATATGGCGTGTTACTGTTGGAACTATGTATACAGATAAAATACTTGCATGGATTAAGCTTTTTCACAACCGACTAGATCTTCAGTGAATTTTACTAGCCAGTTGCTAAACAACGTGATTGATTCAACGGAATTTAAACATTACTCGTTATATGTATATATATATATATATATATGAATCAAAGTTTAGAGAAAGGGTTAGGAAGTACAGAGGTACTAGTTTCTCTTAAGATAATATAAGTTAGTGATTAGTTAATATACTGACTTAGTAAGTGACGCTACTAGAAAAAGCGAAATCAAATCCTTTAGGGTAAGTAAATATCTTACTGATTGTAACAACGACCGACCAGCCGCCTAAATAAAACGAATGAACTGTATGTACTTTTTCCCCTGTTTTTAAACGTGATGTACAAAAAATGTGGCCTGTTCAACAGTATTGTAAACCTTACCTGTACTACCACACGAATGGTCCAAGTTCCAAAAGGAGGCTGTTCCGACAGTTGGTATTCCAAACTCACAGCGCCTAAAAGTAGTTTTAAAAACAAAAAACGTCATCAACGAATAACTTTGAGTAGAAACTGAAGGGCTGACTGTCTAGTTTGTTAATTACACCATCATATGTATTAACATGATTTACCTAGTGTAATTGCCCCTTTCATTGCAATGAAAATTGGTTACTTTGCTCAGAATAACAATATCGCTATATCATTTACAAGTCATGTTTTTGATACCAGGTGGTTGTAACCTTTCGTGATATTATGTTTGAATACTAAATTACGGGCTTATATCGCTCACTGTTTGGCACTTGAAAAACTAATAAGTATTTTGTGAATCCGTGTAAACCAACTGATGAGCGAAGTTTGTATCGTGATGCATAAGTGAATAAATTAGATATAAGCTTGAACTGTTGTGTTTTTAAATTATTACTATACTAGGATAATAGAAATGATACCGTTTTTTACGGCACAAAAAGACGGCTTTTTTTTCTGAAAAACGCCACTAAAAATCATCCTGCGTCTAATATGTGAAGTCAAACAAAATGCATCTCTCAGTTTTACCCCATAAGTTAAATTCTACCTAGTATTTCCCCAGACAGTTGTATATCAAAATATTGTTACGACAGCGGAAGTCAC